TGCACTGTCGTAAACTGTGGTCAACGTCATGAGACAGTACATGTGAACTGCTGTATGGAAAGTAAATTTGCTCTGTAAACCTTTAGCCAAATCACAATTTAAAAAAAAAAAAAAAAGAAAAGGAAAGGAAGTTCTGTCTTGAGAACTTTGGTTCTAATCTAGAGAGAGCATTTGATCTAAGTTTCTGTGGTAATAATGTTTGTGTCAACTTGCCTGGGCCTGGTTGAGCGGCTGGGCAGCTGGTGGCAGTTATTCCCCATGATGAGACTGTCAATCAACTCCATGGTGGGATCTACCACAAGCAGCTGAGTAGCTGCCTTTGAGAATGTAGTCTGCTTCCTGTATATAAGGAGAAGCCTTAGGAATGGTCTCTAGCCTATGGCACACTTGGACCCTGCATGTAGCTGTGTCACTCTTCAGCAGCCTGCTATGCTCTGCCAACCTTGGGACTTACAATGGACTTAGGTTAATGGCCTGCTGTGTGGTTTGGTAACATCAGGACTGTGCCTTTTTACTTCTCAACCTTGGGGCTTCTCAGCCTCTGCAGCCAGCAGCTACCTGAGTGAAGAAATGCCTCTAGCCAGTGGGCCAGGAGCAGGAGGCAGAGCTAGACCCCAAGGTTGATGGGCTTTCACCCAGTCCCTAAAGCCTGGCACTTTGATCTTGGACTTAAAGCTTCCAAATTGTAAGAATAAACTCCTTTTTGTTTAAGCCATCCCATTTGTGGTATATTTCTTATCAGAGAGGCACCAGGCAGCAAGAACAGTTTCCTTTTACTACTTCATCTATGCACTGCCATGAGGTTGCTCGAAGCTTCAGCTCCAAATAAAACTACTTCTTGTACCTATCTTATGAATCAGGCTTTCAGTAGCTAACCTGAGAAACTTTAAAACACACTGCTTCATGTAGAAGTGCACTGCTATTTTGATTGGTATAATAAGGCCTTAAAAAGAAACATAATATTCTCAAAGAACCTTGTGAAGCATGCAAAACGGCAGGATTATGAAAATAGATTTTTTACCTCTGGATGTTACTATTAAACTAGGTAATATTTTTCAAGGAACTTTCTGATTTAGTTTAATGATAAGTAAATCCTTGTGTGAGTTAGGTAGTCCTAATATTACAAAGAATTAATGAATTGAAATGACTAATTTTTGTCTCTGAATGCAAATCAAAGGTAGAGAGACTTCCTAGGTCATAGTCTCTGACGTTATGTAACGCTAGAGAAGATTTTGAAGGATCCCTCTCAAACTAAGTGTAGACATTTTCATACAAAACTGAAAAAGAAAAAATGCTATCTTATTAAAGTTATCAAAAAATTAGGTGGATCCTCATCATTGGGTAACCATGGGCAGATTCTCTCCACTGCAAGAGAACTATGCAAAGCCAAACAGAAATTACACTTGGGACAGTCTGGGGAAATGTTATATTCATGAATTGGTCAATTAGGCAAAAAAAAAAAAAAAACAACTTTGTAATTTCCCAAATTAGTTCATCTTAAACATAAAAATTTAGATTTGGGGAATTAAGAAAAAAAAAAATGAAAATTAGGTATTTTTTAAAAAAACTTTTTCAGCATTAATAATGTTTTGTGATATACAGATAAACTTCAAGACCTTCTGGTAATTTATCGAGAGGTAAATGTTCATATAATTTAAAGTTCATAAATGTTTGCTTTTAAGAGAAAGCATATATACACATCCAGGTCTCCTAATAGGAGCTCTGGTAGTATACTGCCTAAGGCATTTGACTGCTAACCAGAAGCCTGGTGGTTCAAACCCACCAGCCACTCCTCGGAAAGAAGGTGGGGCAATCTACTTCCACAGTGATACTGCCTCGGAAACCCAAGGAGGGGTCACTGTGAGTCGACAGCAGTGAGAGGTCTCCTAATAAGGTGCTCATTTTTTCCATCTAAAGGGTTATGTTATAAAAGATATACAATACAACAGACAATGTTTAAAAGATTAAATAAAAGGCATTTATTTGATATGCTCAAAGTTTTACCTGTCTGGCTGAAGTTCATAGTGACCTCCCCTTGGGGTTCCGAGGTGGTATCTCTATGGAGGTAGATTGCCCAACCTTCCTTCCGAGGAGTGGCTGGTGGGTTTGAACCGCCAGCCTTCAGGTTAGCAGTCAAATGCTTAGGCATTACGCCACCAGAGCTCCAGTTTAAGATTTTGAGGAGCTTTAATGTGAAATAGCATATAAACCGCTAAACTGGGTTTCTTGCCAAGAGATTCTTGAGAAAGTCAGTAGCCACGGTTGGGACAGGAGTTCTTGAACAAACTTAAAAGTAACAAAATGTTCTTTAGTTCCTTGTTTGAAGACTTGACTTAATTCATTCTTTGTGTAACTTGCCGGTGAGATTGCCACTCCACGCCAAATAACAAGAATGCTTACCTAAATTCTTCATGTTGAACACATAGTGCCGATATAAAATTTTTTAGGTAATTGAACAGAATAAACATACCAACTGATCTTCTGTGTCTTTTATTCTTTTTACTTTTACAAACAATACATGAATTTAAATGCTATAATGGCTAATAAAATTGATTTCATGCCAAAAAGATTAGATTAATTGGGTATTTTTCTCTTACCTTTACATAAATCTCAAGAAATCTGTCTTTAAATGTTTATCTTAAGCACACTAACCTGAATATTTTCATTCAAAACTTTGTCCTGTTGCCAGGGTGCCACAGTGGCAGGCATGCAGAAGACAGCAGCAGTGCCTTGGATGCTGAGTTCCGTGATATAGGTAATTTTGATAAGAACTTTGGCCTTATGGGGCAAGTTCCCAACACTTACAGTAAAAACATCCTGAAACAGAAACATATTAATTACTTTTGCAATTCAAAAGCACATCTTTCTCCCAGTCTTCCCCTCCATGGCCCCTAGTCACCCTTTGAGCCTAGAACTGAATTCACTCCTATGGAATAAAGTTCAGTCAAACAACTTTTAGGTCTGTAAGGTGAGCAATTACAGCTTTGTTGTTTTGTTGCTATGTGCCCGACTCAGTAGGGAGGTGCATTCCTTAGAACAATCAACGTAGGAGATCAGAAGGGCATCATTTGCATAGGGAGAAAGCTCAAAAGGCAGGAATGTACAGGAAAGACACAAGGAAAAGGTAACCACAGGCAGAATATGGGAAGAGAG